TACAAAAGATTTTCCCTCTTATCACTGCTAAGGATATTATTATTTAGGGCTGGAATCTGGCCATATATTCCAGAGTAAGAGGTTGCTTTTAAAACTCATCTGGGGTTGTTTTTGTGTTTTTAAAAAAACTTTGATTATGCTAGTAGTTTACGAATCTGATCTTTCGCTCCAGTGGTTTGCTGTGTGACATTAGGACACTCCCATGGGGTACGAGTTTCGTATAGGGAATGTCAGATGTAGTCACTGTGCTTACCTGCTTTCACTTAGAGCTGACTTGTGTGCCCTTGTAATTCTCTGTCCTGTTTACCATTTACACACTTCACACGTCATCGTGATTTCTTTTGCAAGGGAGAACTGAATGAAATTCCCTGAAGGGCCTGACTCTTCAGCAGCCTGCCTCTGCAGGGATAGTGGTTTCTACTTCCTTCTTGGAACTGAGGTTATTGCTTTTCTCTCTTGCCCGCAGAACCCCGATCCTGCAGCAGAATCTACTGAAACATTTATTTGGAAGAATGCTAATTCTGTACATATTTTGTTCCCTAGCTCCCACCTCTATTTTTAAAAAAATTCTCTTAAAGAATTTTTTAAATTTAACTTTATCTTATTTTAATTTGACCAGAGAGAGAGAGAGATGGAAAGCTCCCAGGTCTGGGACTCGAACCATGGTCAGCCATGTGGGAGTCCAGCACCCTTAACCACCATGCCACCTGCCACCTCCCCACCTCTATCTTTAAAAACAAAATGTACTTAAAAAAAAAACCTCTTTGAATCAGCAGCTTAATGAATTTAGTAAGTCAAAGGCCAAGTTGACATTTGTGCTTTATAAGTAGTTTATATGAGCATCTGTGTATTTTTCCTTGCAGAGAACCATGGCGTCTGGCAGCACTACAGCCAGTGAGGAGGAGCGCAGCCTTCGGGAATGTGAGCTCTACGTCCAGAAGCACAACATTCAGGCACTGCTCAAGGACTCCATTGTGCAGTTGTGCACTGCTCGACCAGAGAGACCCATGGCATTCCTCAGGGAATACTTTGAGAGGTTGGAGAAGGTAAAAATAAATGTGGGGAGATGATGAGATGACCATGACAGTGTTAAATTTAATGCTGTAGAATGTTGCTAATTTGTATCTTTTGGAAGAAGGGGAATTCTGATAATCTAGAACAAATTCAAATAAGAAATGCAGTTAAGGCATTCGTAGTAATACTGAAATTCTTCAGAATTTATCAGAAGATGAATCTGTGTGCCAGTTAGTTTACTTGGATAACAAAGGAGTTCCAAACAGTTCCTTCTAATTGTTTAAATTAGTACAGAAAACTGGCTATAAGGGATGAAACTGATCGGAAATAGTATAGCACTTGTATGGAATGAGGAATTCTATAGTACTTGAAAGTGGCGAATGTGTTTCTCTTTGACCAAGCAAGTTAGCTGAACAGACCTCATCCCACCCTTTACATCCTTTGTAATGAAACATTTATATCTAACTTGTGACTGATATATTAGAACTTCGGAATTTATGAAGTCTGTTGTACTGTAGAAAATATCTCAGATGAATTAACTGTGGAGTGGAGTTGTTAAGATTGTTAGTCATCAAAATTTTACTCTATTTATAGTTTTGGTCAGGACTTGTTTCCCCTTGAAAAAAATTAATCCAGTTTTGTTCTTTGTTGCTTATCTTCCTTGTGTGTGTCATTGTGACCTTCATATGTGCTATATGCTTTTTTAAGCAAAATGTTAATTTTGCATCAAGGACAGATGCTTTAGTACACTTCCCACATATGATGAATAAAAAAAATCTGGATCACTAAATATTTTGAGTAGTTTGGTTTGCTTCTGTAAATCAGTAAGATAAATTCACAGATTTTCTTGTGCATATTAGTATTTAGAGATGGTTTATAATGGCATTAACTAACTGGGATTTTTTTTGGTATATGATCATTAATATCTAATTGTATAATAAAAATATTTATATTTTTGGGCAGCTTTTTAATCTGAGTGTTAATATAACAATTGTACAGTAAAAATGGGGGCTTAGTGATCAGGTATTATCCACTATTTTCTGGAAAAACTGTTTTAAAGTTGGTATCAGTACCTTGATTAGAATAATTAAAAACAAAAACAAACAGGAAGTGACTAGCCAGCCACTGTGAATGTAGCCTTGCTATCTCAGAATTGCAGCATAAATTCTAGGTTTCTCTTATTTAAGCAATTTCTAAGTAATGGGAGTACTGCAGAGCCAGGCATGAGAGTGTTCCCTGTTTTGAAATCAAGTGCGTTCCTGGAGATCTGGTTCTGAAATGGGTCACTGTAAGGTGATATCTCTTCTTTGGACATCAATAGAAACCATCAGATGAGGGGATTAAGTTGGTGCGACATTAAGTGTGTACCTTTTTATAGGGAGTGTTGAATGTGTGGTACTAGTTTCAAAGCCTGTGCTTACCACAGCACTGTTTAAGGACTAACGAAGGAGGAAAGCAAGACATATAAGTTGCTGCTTTTCAGATGGGATTTTTAGATTTAATGTGTGTTGGCTTCTTTACATCTTTTTTTTTTTGGGAGAGATTTTTGCTATAGGGCGTGTGCGCTCACCAGACAGACAGAGAGACAGAGAGATAGAAAGCGAGAAATCACCCCCCAGAAGGGATGGCCACGCTGCAATCCCTTCTCCTCCATTCTCCTCTTGGGATCTTGGGCACACATGCACACGCGCCCGGCGTGAGTTTAAGCCACCGGGTCTGGGACTCGAACCACGGTTCACTACGTGGGAGTCCAGCGACGTAGCCATTATGCTAACTGCTGGTCCCGGCTTCTTTACATCTTAATAAAAATTATAGCTTAACTCACCTTTCCTATATTTATAGGGTGTGTGTTTTCTTGCATACCTTCCTTAGCTGGGTTGAATATAGATACTGGCACGCACTTCAAAAAAAATTGCCAAAAAAATGTTAACTTACAGGAGGGAGGGAGAAAGAGGGAAAGCAAGAGAGCATCCCCCACCCCCAATCCCTTCTCTTCCATTTCTCCCTCCTTTTGGGATTTTGGGTATAGACATTCACCCAGTGCATTTCTCAAGCCTTTGGATCCAGAACTTGAACCATGCAGTCGGTTGGCCACGTGGGATTCAACCACCCTAACCACCCATAGGCTTGCCTAATACCTGGCCTTTCGAGTAACTATATAGTAGATTTTCAACTTTTTAGTAGGTCACAGTTTTACATATTAGGTGTTAATTTGTATTTCTGAAAATAGATGGTCGTATTCTTATCCCCTCCTTCTCTTTTACTCAAGGGTTCTGATCCTGGTACCCTCAACTACTTCATAAGAAATGTTCCCAAAACTGTCCCAGTTGGTCCAGTGAAAGCATCTGTATTTTAATTTAGACTGCTATCTGAAATGAGTCCTTTTACACATTTACTGTATTTATTAGAATCCTGCTTGTAAGATAACTAGGAAATCAAAATAGTCCCAGTAGTGAGTTCTCTTATGTGACAGGGACTATTTGAATCCCTCTACATACACACTCATTAATTCAAACATAAGAGATAGGTGATTATTACCATTTTACAGAGATGGATAAAACTTAAGAGAAATTGGGACCAGCAGATGGCATAGTGTTTATATTGCTGGACTCACGTAGTCAACCACAGTTCAAGTCCCAGACCTAGCGGCTTAAAACTCACACTTGGGTGTATGTGCGTGCATGCCCACATAGTGTTTACATTGCTGGACTCACGTAGTCAACCACAGTTCAAGTCCCAGACCCAGTGGCTTAAAACTCGCACTTGGGTGTCTGTGCGTGTATGCCCAAAATCCTGAGAGGAAAATGGAGAGGAAGGGATTGCATCGTGGCCATCCCCTCTGGGGGGTGATTTCTCTCTTTCTGTCTCTCTCCAGTGAGTGCAGACATTTTTAAAGCAAAAAAAGCTCTCAAAAAAAAAAAATAAAATAAAAAAAAATAAAACCCCAAAACCAAAAACAACAAGAAAAGCTAAGAGAAGTTAAATAACTTGGTTGTGGTAGCAGAGTGTAATAGTTGGCTTGTGCTGAAAAAACATATAGCATCAGAATTTCAGTGGTTTACTACAATATACTGCGTTTCTCAGTTTCTTTCTCTTTTTTTTGAGAGATTTTTGCTATAGGGTGCATGCACTTGCTGGAGAGACAGAGAGATAGAGAGTAAGAAGTCATTCCCCATTGGGGATGACCATGCTGCAGTCCCTTCACTTCCACTCCCCTTTCGGGACTTTGGGCACGCACGCACACACACACACACACACACACACACACACACACACACACCCCTTTTGTGAGTTTTAAGTCTCAGGGTCTGGGACTCAAACTGCAGTTGATTACGTGGGAGTTCAGTGATGGAACCATTATGCCTTCTGCTGGTCTCACAATTCTAATTTTATATTATCTCTTCTGGGCTCTGTCCATCTAGTTTTCTTGACTCCACATATCTTGTTCTGGGTCTGAGCAGAAGGAACAGCCACTATATAGGGCACGCTATTCTGAAGGCAGAAAGTGGACAGAAGCTCAAGAGAGAGAGCCAGACCACATAAGTGAGCACAGTATGGCATGTCAACTTAGATTCTGTGGCCAAAGCAAGTCATGTGGCTGTGCCTCAAGGCAGTGGGGTGGGAAGTGTATTTCACCTACCTGGAAGAATGGCAAGTACAGGGAAGGAACAAATAATTGCGGAAAACAATATAATGAATACTTCGTAGGGGGCCTGAATTTGAACTTAAGAGTTGAGATCATATTACAGTATTTAACACAGAGTATAATAAGGAATTTGAATATAAGAGTGGCAAACATAATTAACCAGAAAGTAGACGTGGTCAACCATGTGAGAGTCTAGCATCTCAGTCACCATGCCACCTGCTGGCCCCCCATGTTTTATTCCTAAAACCAGTGATACATGGGTCAGCAGGTGGCATGGTGGATAAGGCACTGGACACTCCCTCCTGACTGAACATGGTGCAAGTTCTGGACCTGGAAGCTAGCTTTTTCATCCCCCCCC